CACACAGATAGACTGTAACCTTCCGCGAGATATGAACAGAATCTGCGCTAATACTGTGTGGACAGAGAAGATGTACCTCAAAATATTAATGTGAATTGAGAGAACCCCAGTGGTGAAGAGAACTATAGAGCAACGACAAAGCTCTCGAAAACATTAAACCAGTTAAGGAATTCAGTTGGGAAATGACTGGTAAAGTTAAACTGCACAGTATGGCAAAGGGCCGCCAAAGAATAGTGGGACATTATGATGGGGAGGGGGGAGAGAGAAATGGGTACACTTTAAATGAAAGGTGAACAATCCATAAAGGCCCACTCGTTAGGGGGGGGGGTTATGCGTCCACTAATTTCCTTTGCGGACTAGGTGAGGGTATATTATGCAACATCCCTGGAGGGTGTTCAATAATCTACCACATCGGATTGCCTGGCAATAGGTCGCGAAATGGGCTATTCGATACACGAATTTCGATCTTCACCGGCAGAATGGTATTGTCGACAAGGACAAGGGGGACTGTAACGGCCATCTCCGGCTCATCGGTCGTCGTCGGCCAGTCATACACAACCTCAAAATGTGGAACACCTGGGGCTCCAACTCGCGACCAGTTAGCTAGAAGTCCAATGCCTCCAACCACTGTGCCACGAGCTCATTGTCCTGTCGGGTGCGATAGGGAATATATAATGGTTGAGGGACGCTCAGCGATCATTTTTACGGAACTCATGATTTTCGTATAAACGATCGGTGTGCGCCCCGCTACCACCTTCACTGGCGTTATCGACGTTGAAACTGCTCGTATCGGACTCAAGGTTAGAGTTGAGATTACGGTTAGACTTAGGGTTAGTATTAGGACTTGGGTTATTATTGGGCTGGGATTGTCAGGCATTGGCTGTGGTTAGGATTTTTAGTTGAGGCTAGGGTTAGGATTTTTTGTTTTAGGGAGGGGTTTGGATTAGGGCTAGGGTTTCAGGGCTTGTGTTTAGACCACAGTTACGTACAAGTTTTCCTTATATGCATACGGGTTAAGAGTCAGTGCAACCTGCCACTGCCATGGTCACAACTGGCGTTGGGTTTGTAGCTTACTACAGTCTTCCCAAGGGAACTACATACCTACCCTTGCCACAGATTATGACACTTGCAAAAACAATCAAGAATGTTCGAGTTACAGGTGTATGAGAAGGAAGGAGAAGGCTGTCTAGGCACCGGAACCATTTGTTTCTTATTCTGGGCTTTTGACCTTATGCAGGAGTTCATAGTCGGAGATGACAGCAGCAACTGAACAAGCGACAGTTAAATTAACCAATCACTAATCAGTGGAGTGGGTCTGCAGGTGACCGAGCAGGACTCTGGTACGCCGGCGTTAGATACGTACATTGATTGTTTGAGTTCTCATCGACAGCCCAGGCTTTACTTATTTTCCGGCATGTCATGCTCAAGGCGTGGTATATCCCGTTGGCAGCTGGATATTAAAACTCATGGCCCGTTTCGAAGGTGTGGGCAGCCACTTACGATAATTCGTCACCCCGTTGCACAGCCCGCAATACCTGTTAGGGTAGGTTACAGGATAAAGAAAATCGTTTGACCTCTAAGACGTGCTCATCGGCACTAATTTTGGAAGGCACTTTCTAGCCGTACACACCACGACGGGTGTAATACGCACCTCAATAAATAGCACGCTCAGTTGGCTAAGACTAAACTTGGCTTTCTAACAGAACTATCGCCCGGCATAGACTGATGTGCAAGCGAATCAGGATTGTGTAAACCCATGTCTTTCTGAGGACAGAATGTCATGAAAAGGATTGAACAAAGATCCGACTAATGCTGACTTCTAAGCTGGCCTTGATTTCTTAACTTGATAGGCAACTGAAGCCGAAATTTCATAAATTATTGGATCCCAGTACGGAGCCTAAGTATAATACGATATTTCAGTGTGCAAATTCAAGATCACGAATCACAACCTTAAGCGATTGTACAGTGTCCGACGGGGCAGAAAGTTTGGAAATGCCGTACTCACATACGGTGTTAGACCGCCCGCTTCCTGATACCGTCAAGTTAATTTCTTAGCAGACACATCTACTGAGGTGCCGTCGCAAACCGAAAACTTGAACGGGAAGGCATACTGGACGGCGAAATAGGCCAAATAGGCGTCTCAGGGTGCATTATCTAGTAGATGGGCAGACTAGATCAAAGTGAATTCAAGGTATGCGCAAGTTTCGCAAGGGGTGTGGTGGAAACTGAGCTGAATGGCATAAACAGGTAACATGCTGACAAAATGCAAGGTGGCAGGCACCCTCTAGATGGAGCCATGTAGACACGCCGTGCAGAATCTTATGCAGAAATCGGGTTTTGCCTGCATTTTTGTGCGAATGCATTTCTCATTTTGACACAGAGCACACCTAACCAACCGAACCGCGTTCTAATGTCCAAAAAGCCTTTCGGCGTTTTAAATAATTAAATTTTGTTTCTGCTCTCCCTCCATTTGGACTTTTTTCGAATTTTCAGAGTATCTGTCACATCGCTGTTTCGTCATTCCACGTCAGTGTGTGGGTGTGGACCAAGCGGTCCAACCAGTCCAAATAAATAAACGTGCTTACACTCATGCAGAGAAAAATCCTTCGAAGCCAATGCACCTCGAGTCATCGGATATACTGTGTTTTATGTTTAAGCTGACAGAACCACGAAAAGTTCAGTTCGCACGATGGTCACGACGCGCCCGGATGCATGCAGATATGCGAAAACAAAAGGTTTTTGTCCGGCAATAGGGAAAAGGCGTTTCAGAATACAACACAGTACTCCGGCCATTCTAAGGGTTTTGCATGAAGTTCATTCGGACGGTGGTCGCGCATTCGCAGGTTGACCGGGCAGCTGCCCAAATCGCCCAAACAGAACGGGGTTTTCGCCCTGCGGGCAGTTACCACCGTCAAATCGTACGACGTGTGTTGAACGTTGACAGCGACCTTGAGAATCCATTGGGTCGTCAGTTCACGCCGGCCAATCACATTGCAGACCATGGGCCTTGGAGATTACTAGGCATAGTATAAATAGACAGCGCCACGACTGCGACACCGTGACTTCATCGATATGAAACTGCAGATCTGCCTCCTTCTCCTTACGGCCATCGTTCTGGTCTCCTGCTGGGAGGTTAGTGCGGACACCACCACCACCCACCGCCCTACTACCTCGAAGAAACCGCTGGGTGCCGCCGCCGGGGACGAGAAAAAGCACGGCGAGCATGAAGGAAAGCAGTGGCAAAAACAGCAAAATGAGGACGACGACGACGACGACGATGACGAATAGGTAGTGTATCAGTAACACTGCTTGTACATCTGTCTGTCAATGAATACTCTTATGAGTCAGCCGTTTACGTCTTACCTTGATACTGTTTGGTGGGCGGGACGGGGGTAGCATATTTCAATGCGAGAGTTGAAATATGCTGGTAAACACTGGTGACGTCCGGCCGAGAATGATTTCGGGTGGGGGAGCGACCGAAAGAACTCGATGGTCCTTAAACTCTCCACTTACCTCGGCGAGATTTGGCCTAGTATGTCCTAGGGTGCGAGTATAAATAGTAAGCATGATTGGGTTGAATGATAAGCCCTAAAACCAGGCCTTTTTCATGGCGCGTCCTGCACTGCAGCGCTATCTTTCGCTATCCGCGCATCCAGGCTATGACGCGGATCTGATCAGGTCGATCATCCGCTAATGGTCAACCGTCGTCGCTCTGCAAATGCAGACGCACGTGATCGCTGATGCTATCTCATTATCAGTGGGTCTATCTGCGTTCAGTCGGCCTTGAGCCACGCGGTCCCAGCGGTTGGTGTACACTTAGGAAGGCTGGGCTCGTATGCAGGCCTCGAGTTTCTACCTGGTCGTTTCCCTGACTAATGAAACGAGGATGGGTTTCAGCACTAAGGACGAGAGACTTGAAGCACAGCGTCCTTTATGACAGGGAAATACGCGAAGCAATCAGCCTGAGGATGAATGCAAAGCCGTTGCCAGTATGAAGTCGGCTGAGCTGTGATAGCTGAGGGTGCGGGGACAAGTACACAAGTTCACTTGGACACGCATGCTTCAGGATTATTTTGAATTAATCCACATGGGGACTTGCGTGTGAGCATGATACTGAGTAGTGTTCAGTTTTGTGGTTGGTTGAATGAATATGAAACAGTACTGCATCAATCTACCTTCAGCTCTGTGCCTGCCACGCCTGATATCATTTCGTGATAGAGTGTACTACGTAGTTTGACTGAGAAGAAGGTCAAGAATAGCAACAAGTAGGTGCTTTGTCGTATGACGGCGGAGTAGACATGAAATCTATTTTGTAATTCACGCGTGAAGTTAGTTGCGTGCCTGATCTCTCGTGTGACGGTATGCACTGGCATATATCCCAAGAGTCATTAAGCAAACGTAATGATAGGACAGGTTGCCTTGTGCTGGTATCCAAGCTGATTATGGTCAATTTTAAAGGTAGGTCAAGTTTTGGGTCAGGTTTATGGTTAAGGTTTGGCTTGGGGTTACTTTTAGGATACGGACAAGTACTTTTCTGAAATCTACACAAGGCCGCATGTATTGCGCACTTCCTGTTCCTCATCAACGTAGCTTGCCCGACAAAAAAGACCTGCGTTGTGTAAACCCATGTCGGCCTGATGAGTAAATGTCTACGAGTGTTTTGGTGAAAAGCAGACATCGCCGTTCATTAGCGACTTGACCGCATCCCTATTTACAGGATCCGCTAAACGTCTCCACAAACCCTGTCTGGTGAATATGATCACCGTGAATTAGGACGGACAAACTGTATATGCTTTTGGCCTCTTACTGTGACACTTAGGGCGTTCAGCCCTTCAGCGACGTGTGAGATCTCCTGCTCTTTGAGGAGTTAGGGGCGGACACCTGTGCAGTATGCTTTGGCCCCGTAATCAACTGGGCTCACACTCATCTCCGGCCCTATTGACGTCTGTCTTGTCATCGGAATTAAGTGCGTGGGTGGATGCTCCGCCCTCCGCGTATCTTCAAACCAATCCAGGGGCAAGTCATCACTGTATGAGGGTCCGAATCACTTACGACGAACGAACGTACATATATCAGACCCTATAAAATATGTAATGTTTCCCATTGTCTGCTCCTCGTGTTGTCGTTGGAGTTCAGTGAGTTTGGAGTTTGTGGAGGGCTAGTAACAGTATCCCACGCTACGGCGAATGATGTTCGTCGAGGCTAGTTTACAGTTCGCGAGACAAATTTTCTCTCCCAAAGACATGCAAGGAGTTCAGGGTCACTCGATTTTCTCAGAGTTCAGCCACTTTTTGTGCAGACATGCTGCTGTTGCATCATTTGCCCAGACAGTTTACACAGAAACAGCTAAGTGACAGAATAACTGTGCGAGTTACTCGTTTGTGCGGAACCAGGTGACATCTTAGTGACAGACGACTGATCCAAGAGTCCACTGTCGTGCTGAAAAACGCTGCGCATTGTCGATCGGTTCTGGTGCAGATCTTGTTCTGCAAGCCCCCCTAAAGTGCCGAGAAGGCGACTGTGAACCCGCCAGGAGGAGAGGACAAGCGCTTCACTATCCGTGACGAAACGCTGTGCGTTAGGTCGGACCACCTTCACCTTCGAGAAGACCGAATACCGTGTCTGAATTAACGACCGTGTGACCAGGTACATACGCACCGAAGGCCTTGGCCTCAATCACGTCATTAAGAATCTTTGCGTGATAAAGACATTAACGGCGTCACATATGAGGGCACTTCTGAAAGCCAGACACTCAAAGCGAAATTCTACTGACTGAGGTCTCCCTCTAAGTATTGGAATAACCCCTGGTGGTTTCATAAAACCGAGAAACTTACTTTGGGCGTATGAATTGAAATAAACGGGACGCCCCTGATCAGAGCAGTCATAGAGTCAACTTTTGGTTCAGCAAGCAGTTACTGCCGTCATGTCAGGCTAGATAAACCACGCGCTGACAACCACCCTAAGAATCCACTAGGTCCTCAGATCGTACCGGCCAATCACGAACCGTGATTGGCCGGAACTAGTATAGATATGCGGCATCTGCGTCAATTTGCCATGACCTCATCGAGATGACGGCAAGGCTATCCTTCCTGCCCATTACGGCTATTGTCTTTTGTGCTTGGATGGAAGTCAGTGCAGCTGCCATTCATCGTACTACCCAGTCTCCCTAACCGCTGACTCCCGCCAACTCTGGCATTCAGGGATATGGTCAGCAGAGGCAGTACTACAAACCACCACGCGGGCCACGGTACGGCAACGAAGAGTACAAGCCCCAGTACGATAAATCTGCGGATGACGAAGAGTAGGAGCGCAGAAGTCGTCTGCAGTGTCCCAGTTGTGTTATACTGATACTACTTGTACATCGGACTAGCACTGCAATCTCGTAAAATTTTAAAGATTGTTTAAGCGAAACTGCTTCTAATTAGTACCGGGAAACGGTGACTGGAAGAAGGGGATTGAAGCAGATACCTCATGTCGTGGTACGGTTCGGTCAGCTAAGAGAACCTACGCAATTTTGATGAGGGAGGTTTAGGCAATACCGGGTTGGGAATATGCAGAGAGGGATTCGGCAGCTTTGCTCGAATTGTTCGAAACTACAAATCGCAATTCAAACACACCGTGCCCTGGGGACATTTGCAAGACAACTAAAAGTCGGTCTTTTATCGGAGTTGCCAGATTTGCGTAGATGCCTGTTCGCGGAAACCACAAATTCGTGTTCCAAATGTTTGGAAGACGAGGAAGATGCAAATAGAAGAAAAATCTAAAAGCTCTATAATCTGCTCCAAGTGGTTTAAATATGTAAATTCACGAACACTGTGACACTTTAGTTTCGGATGGAGACCACATCAGAATTTACCTAAACTAATGGATACGCAAAATGTGTTTCCTTAACCTCCTGCATCTCATCAGATCTCGGAGCACAGTGCCTTTTCTTGCCAACTGTCAAATCATAATAACGACTCAACTCCCTGATCATGACAGTGCAGAAGCTATGAAATTCAGAAGTTTTATCCCTAATGGGCAGATAAAAAAGCTTCGAGAGCGGAAGGAATGCTCTAGAAGACGAAACGTTTCGGTAAAATCGAATGAGTCGGTTAACAGCTCAAAACCCCTGTTTGGAGTCCACAGGACACAGTGGAAGAGGGTGGGCTGACAGACATCGCCGTAGGATTGAACCTTAATCATCCATGATGAGATGCTCCCAGTACGTTTTCAACCCTAAGTAGTGTAGAATTGTAACATTGGTCGGAATCAGCAGAGTCTTGAAAGCACCTGAAAGGGTGTTTAATGATGACAATTTGTGAATGGCGTATAATTAGTCTACTTGAGGAGATTCACACAGACGTGATTTTGTTCGGGAGCTCTAAACCGGTTCACGTTTGAAAGCAGGGTTTAACATCACGTTCCTGAAAGAATGGAATGGGCCCTTTTCATCGACCCTCAAAATGCTGACTGTCTTTCAGCATGTGCCTGGACCATTCAAATGTCGAAAAAGCTAAATGGTTGTAGTCATGTCCCAGAGGCTAGAACAGTTACCTTCACCAATCATCCAGGTTCAGATGCAGGCCACACTACAATTTTCGGCGAGGTTTGGTTCTGCAGCCCCACCTGAGTGATATCATACGGCTAGCGTACGAAAAAAATATTCGTTAACATACCTATCTTAGCCGCTCACTGGCTTAGGAAGGGACAGAGAGCGCAATCAGAACTCGAAGCATGGATACAGAAGCGAGTGATGGTGGCGTGTACACACGCCCCACGCCGACGCAGCCACTCGTTGGACTGAGAGGAGAAGGAGGACGCAATCACATCTGGAAGGCCATAGAGGGAACCGCATGGTAATCCGCAGTGCATGGCCACTGCAGTGAAGTCGACGTAGTTCCACACCGTCTGAGCAATTTCATTAGCAAGTCTACCTAACCACTTACTGAATTAGGATAATAAAGAGTGCGCAAGCGGGACTCGAAGCACGCGCAGGGAAGCGCCTGTGAGCTGACAAGTGAAGCAACCGAAACTGGCGTATGAGCACTCATTACCCCCCGTGGCACAGGCACTCGCTGGATTAAGACTGTAGGGATGATGCAGATACGGGATATTTGTAAAGTCAACGTACTCGAATCTACGAAAAAATTTTTAGAAAACGAATCACATGGTATCACTCAGGTGGGGTTTCAGGACCAAATCTCGTCCAATTTTCTGTGAGCAGAGATTGCGTCACTCTAGACCTCCTAAATCAGTGCCGTTTCTCACTGCACGACTTCCATCTTCCTCAAAACCGAGCACCTACAAGGCCTTGTGTTTAAAGTAACAGAACTAAGAAGGATTCAATTCGCATGATATTTGGGAAGGGCAGGAGTATCAGTCGATCGCAGGATACTAGGAGTAATTTCACCGTAGGCATCTGCACTGATCTCGGGCCGGGTGCCGGTTGACGACTAAAGCAATTACTACCGTCGCCTTTTTGCGAAGGTGGTGGTCACGCGTGGGAAGCGGCCTTGAGGATCCACTACGTTGTCCGACCACGTCAGCCAATCACAGCGTTGGGGTTCACAGGTCGCCGGCGCCTCTATAAATAGACAGCGTCAGCGTCTAGGCAGCACTACCTGAATCGAGATGAAACTGCAACTGTGTCTCCTTCTCCTCACGGCCGTCGTTTTGGGTGCCTGGATGGAGGTCAGTTCAGCGGCCGTTCTGCCGGCTACCGATACGCCGACACCGTTGGGCGCCGCCAATGGAGGATATGGCTACCAGAAGCCCTACTATAGACCGCAGTATCGTCCATACCAGTACAGGCCGCAGTACGGCTATGGTGGGCAGTAGAAATACAGAAGATGTCTTCGGTGCTGGCTTTCCATGATCTCTTGACCCTGTACAGAAAGCTTTTGCAACAATGTCAACTGTTTTTACATATATAGCCTTGCACTTGAATTCTTCCATACTCTCGAATTTAGACAAACGCTCCGTGCTGAAAAGACTTTTGTTCAGTTTGACTCAGCGATACCGAAGGGGGAGAGTAAGCCCGGGTACCGATAGGTAGGGGTGGATATGGGGGGGGGAGGTTTGGCAGCATTCCGCTCGAGATACTGTTATGTACGAGCATCCCGCCAGAACATAGGGAACTTTTCATAAGTACTTGGTCTGTGAATAGCGTGTAATCGTTGATAAGATGAGAAATTATGTCTCTAGAAGAAAAGGGCCCCATTTAGACAAGGGTAAACTTTAGGATTATAAAGTCCAAGAGCAAAGCAGTAAGAAATGCGGAAAGTAAATATACAGTCCTGTTTATGTGCATTTGCTCATACTTTAAATACCTCCTGAGACAACATGCTCAGTGAGCAGGACATGTAGAAGGGAAGTGAAATGGTAAGTTGCACTAGCAGACGAGCCAACCTGCCGGGCTTTAAACGGGAACCTAACGGATGCGACGAGTTGAGTGCACTCAAAGGTACCTCCTTTAACACCTTCCTCATCTGTCGCAGGTTTTACCTCCGGTGGTTGTCACATGGAGACAATCACAGTCTGTCCATTGTAGGGGAGTTTCTTCTAGACTCTAGGTTCAGTCAGCAGATCTGAGCATGTAGTACCGACATACTAAGACACCTACAGTAAGTGACCGATCTCATGAAGTGTTGGCAAAAATTCTGAAATGTGCTTTCGATCAGGAAGGATTACTTAGGCGCGGTTGTAATACTGATTATCTTGCGGTCTAGTTTTATAATATTTCAGACTCGGCAGGATGTCAGCTTTTGAATACACTGCTTTTCAAACTCCTGTAGAAACCGTACTCGGTAAAAATGTCTACTTAAGTAACAACCATTTCTTACATTGATTTTTGATGGTCTTGCAAATTCGAATATATTTTATTAAACCACTAACAAAAATAGGCTCTCTTTCATTCGTTCGACAGATAATTATGCAATCTTTATATTTTATATTAGGAGAAGGAGCCTGATCAATCGTTGCATTAATGCTTGGTGATTTCAGTCTACAAAGTGCATGCGTTCCGCGTAAAGAAAATCATATATTCTTCTATTCCTTTTGAAAGATACCATATAGAGTTCAAAAAATTTCGAAATGGATGCGGACCATGTTGAACGTTTCATGAGGAGCAGTGGTAAACGGACAGGTACGATGCTGTATGAATGATCAGAAACTTTTTAAAGCCAAATTATACTCCTTCTCCGAATAAAAAATATAAAGATTACATCATTTTCTATCGAACGAATGAAAGAAAGCCTATTTTTGTTAGTGGTTTAATAAAATATATTTGAAATTGCAAGACCATCGAAAATCAATGTAAAAAAGCATGTTACTTAAGTAGACATTTTTACCGAATACGGTATCTACAGGAGTTTGAAAAGCAGTGTATTCAAAAGCTGACATCCTGCCGAGTCCGAAATATTATAGGGTTATGCCATAAGATAACCAATATAACAAGCGCGCCTAAGTAATCCTTCCTGATCGAAAGCACATTTCTGAATTTCAGCTAACATTTCGTGAGATCGGTCACTCACTGTATGTAATTATTTGCCATGCTGACAATGCAAGTACTAGCTGAAAGCCCTGACGGGTGTGTTTCGCCGATCTTGAACTGCTGCCCTACGCAGCTGCCAGGGCTTTGACTCATCGGTGGATCCCCCAGCTGTCCCTGTTCAGTTTTCATCTTGCCTTCCGAGGTGATTAATGCACGAGCTTGGAGGTCTAGAATAGGGGTAATGAAAGTACTAGTGCTCGCCTGAATGATTAGTTCGGCTGACCGCTCAGCTTCAGCGAACCATGACATCAACTGTCATCCCCGCAGAGTAGGGCAGCACTGTTAATTTGCGTGTGAATTAACTCTTAGTGTGGCCGGCTTTCGTAGCATCTTCGACACTACCTCCTCCCTCACCCGCCAGGGGCAAGGATCGGATGAAGGACTCCAAACACATACGACCAGCCAAAGGTGCCTGTCTTACGGGGAAGGTGATAATAGTGGTTTTGCGGGTGGGGCTCATGCTCGCATAGAGGAATGGCCGAATAGATAAAGATAATTGGTAAATTCGTTTTTTCGGGCGGGAACGTTTCAATGCATTGAAATATAGCAACCGAAATTAAGCAGGGCAATAAAAAAGACTAAACGTCAAGTGTCTACAACGATCGCTTCTCAACTGTCCGAGCTGTGTTCATTGTAGATAATGCACCAGACCGTCTACAACAGACGACCCAACCTCGTACGATGAAACACTAAACCGAAATAATCGTCTCGGACTAAAACCCACTTAAATAAGTATCGTAGGTATTCCTTCTATGCCACAGATGCTTGGGGTCCTTCACCCGATTCTTACCCTCCCTCTTCACACTTAAAATGCTCGGAAATTGTTCATGTGCTTTCCTCTAGCAGGACCAATCTCAGACCAAATGCAGCCTTCTCAGTGTGCGTTAATTGCACCTTCACGCATGTGAAATCACAGTCGACCCGATGAAAACCTTGCACGTGGGTTGAGGACAAGGTTGCTTGTCACGCATCGGAACCTGGGCGGGGTAAGAGTAAGAGCACGAATTAAGCGTACCTGAACGATAGCTGGTCATTAGGAACTTCTGATTTAGTGAGTCACTGGCTTAAAGGACACATTCCTTCGGAGATTAATCCTGACTCATTTCTCTTTGTCAAAAAACAAGACAGTCCTCGCCCAAATTCTGGATAGCGGGCAAACTTCAGTCATCAGGGGTGCGGCTGTATCGTGGCCCACCTTTTGGGCAGGTGTCAGACCTCGGAATTTGGCTGGTAGGTTTCAT